AAAGATCGTTATAACTCTCTTGTTATTTAATACTTGTAACCTTAACAAAGATCTAGTAGTTGAGCTGCGGAAAACTAAATTCTTACAAAATACTAGAGGTCATTACACATTTGAATTTTATAAGTACATCAAACACTAAAAAAAAAATTAATAATCCTTATAATTTTTAAGGTTATTTGTGAATTTATATGAATTTTTTAAATTAAAATACTACATCTCATATAAATTTAAAATAAAAAACTTTTTCAACTAAAGAGGTAATATTTCGGAAATTTAATGAGGCATGTTTCTGGTCATATTACCACTACCAAATCTGGAAGTACGTAACGTTTTAAAAACATTACATCTTTAAAAAAAGGTACATTTGAAATCTTGCAAGTTGAACTGCACGTAAACAGTGTACTATATTCTTGTTATCTGGATGCAAACATTTAAATATATCAGGCACTAAGCTTTTTTATAGTGGTTTTACTATTATTCAAACAAATGTAGTAATTTATAATCGTTATTTAAAATAGTAATAAAATAATTTAGTTGTTTACTATAATTGTTATCATTTACGTGATAACGTTGAAATGGCACCTTATTTAGCTAACAATAAAAATGAAATAATTATTGTTCTTAGTCACAAGCAGAAGCGAATATTTTCGACGTATTTTATAAACGTTTCAATAATTTTATTGAAAATCCCTCTTAAAACATTTCACAGTTTTAAAAACGCTGATTCAACGTTTTAAAAATTTGTAGAAATGCTTACCATAAAGTCAATACTGCTGTGTATTATTGACTTATGGCGAACGTTAAAAAGCACGGAATTTCTTTTTTCATTAATTGCTGTCTTGAAAACAAAAGCATTTCAAAGTCTAAAAATTATTTAAAGTGTGAGTTTACATGTTGTTTAAAAAAGAGTACTAAAATATAGTAATAGTGTATTAAAAGTAACATTTTATAAACTATACAAATTTATAATCACGTCAGGAATTTCGTTAAACATTATTTTCAATTGATAGTACGAGGATTTTTTGGTGTGATAATTTTGACACAACGTATGTAACTAAATCTTTTTTCAAATTTTATTTTCAAAGATTCCGGTTTTATATGGGAAATGCTACTGTATTTACCCACAAATAAAAAATGTTTGAACTACAACTTAACGTTATAACATAAAAAGTTCCTGATGCATAATTTCAGAGCCGAGGCAATTTTCTTGATAAAAATTTCCGAATCCTCATTTATTGACCAATTGTATAAAAATTTACTATGAAAATTTTTTGTGGAAATAAAGGAATTTTCTATTTTGTATGAAAAATCCTAACATACCTACGAACAATCACTCCTTGGCCGTAGGTGCCACCATTTTCGTTATCTCGAGGTTGAGGTTTTGACCAATCATCGCCACAAGGTCCGCATTTTCCACCATTTTTTTCATGCAGTACCTAAAATTTTTTTACAGTTCTTACAACTTGAGTAAACTTTAGTCTTATAATATATTAAATTGTGATTTTACTCTAGAAAGTTTAAACGTTTGCTTTTAATTAACACATAACAATAATTTTTTATCAATCTTGAAAAATTTTGATTGTATTTGCAACAGTCCACTTTAATACACACACGCACTCGATAAAAAAACAAATTACGTGATCTATGTTTACGATTAATTAGATAATAAATACGTTGATTGAAAGTAAATCGAATGAGATAAGAATAAATAAGAATTGTATCATATGAGTATTTTCGAGCTTTGGTGTTTTTTTCAATAAATGATAGTGACTCAAATTAGAACATTATATAGAAATAATAAAAAAAGTGTCCGAATTTATATAGGCACAGGTCAAGGGTGAAATGTTTATTTAAATAAAAACAGCTACTGTCAAGTAACATAAGTAGAGTTTCCGTGACAAGTTTTCATTTACCACTGTATGATTTTTAAGACAATTTGTTAAGTAAAAACGTTATACGCAGAAAAAAGATTTTTTTACTAAAATTTAATCATTCCAGAAGTTACTTAACAACTTAATTAGATGTTTACTTGAAATAAGTAATTTGTTATCAAACGCGTTTGTTAAGGTAATCAGTTATGAATGTGTTTGTAAACTATTTTTCAAAACTAAAAAAACGTTTATGCTTTGTAAGACATACCTAAAGCATACTAATAAAAAAAATGTAGATCAGAAAAACTGTAGAAACAGGATTTTTGAGACTCGAAACGTTATAAAAAATAGCAACAATCAATTTTTTTAGCGCAAATAATATTCAAAAAACGCACAAAAAACAAGCTTTGTTTCGTCGAATCAATTTAAAAAATCTTTAGGTCTAAAATTCCATCGGTTACATAAAGGTAGATGTATATATTTATGTTTACACAGGACAGCACACATCGTGATAGACGCTTTTACTTTATTAAACATATTTGTTTACTTACCATAATACCACCACAGTAAAGTTCATTATCATCGTAATTTTCTGTAACATTGAACCCCACTCTCCAAGCAGACGATCTACCCACTGGATTCAGAAGTTTTCCGTGAGCATTGACTTGCAAGAAGTAGAAACAAATGACAAGAATGCACGTAACCATTACTTTAAAGGCCATTGCTGAGATCACTATTTTTTTCACTTGGAGTGTCAACTATACTAAACGTTCGGCTTTTTTCAGCCAACAACCGTAACACTCGAGTTTGGTAAAGACCGATTGATCACCTAATAGAGATGTCGAACGTTTGCTTGCGATGTCACGGAAATTCGGCTTTTATACCATAAGGTCGCACCGATGATCTAGATTGATAACGATTGCACTTCCAAAAAACGTCCTGTTTGTCGATAGCCTTATCTCATGCCAGATTTGAGTACTGTTGCAAAAAAAAGATTAGTGAGACAAACAATCTTATTATACGTACCGATTATTTTTAATCCTAATGATTCTAGATTGATTAAACTTTTCAATGATCATTTTTTACCATTATTATTTGTAGAGAGTAAATAAATTTTGAATCACATAATAATCTATTTACAAACTGAAATTGCTTTTCATGCAGTCACATAAAATGTCAGCTGATTCATAAAAGTACTCTCATTAATTAGATTTGAAAAAAATTAATTTACTTCTTTGTGATTTAATCATAGAAGTGACAGGTAAAGATAATCAAGANAAAATTCGATTGTAATAAAATCCATTCTGGCTTGCATTATACTATGATAAAGTTGAGTAGTTTAAAGGGCAGTGATTAAATCTCATCTTTTTTTTTATTTCCTAAGTATTTCAAGAATCCATTCCCGTGTAACATTACAAGAATTAAGTGCCGTAAAAAAATTTTTATTGTGATTCTTTAAGAACGTAAGCTTACACACACATATATATATATACAGGTACAATATCGTACTTCGAGAACAGTGAAAAATTTTGGTATAACAACATTTACACCTAAAACTAAGATTTATTTAAACAATGGATACATCAGCGCATCCACGAAATACTTCCTGGTTACCACAGCCAAGTCCCTCAGTGCCATCCTCACAAACACCCCAGTTGTTACCACAGTAGTAGTGCCACCTGAAGACACAGTGTGGGCATACAAAGTCTTCAGGCAGATTGGCCTGAATTTTAACAAGACCTTCGAATCCTCCAATAACTTTGTAACGTCGATTACCATCAGCGAGGTAAATGGGATGTGCATCAAAGCACTCCTCGGTCTCGATGTCTGTGGTCGAGTTGAGAGGACACAGGGAAAATTCAAAGTAACCCAAGTGATTGGCATCCAACGATACTGTAATATTTATCAGCTCTCCTGGACTGTATCTGTAAGAGTGGTGATTTAATTAAATTGATAAAATAATTTTAATAAGTAAGATTTCAAAGATCGTTATAACTCTCTTGTTATTTAATACTTGTAACCTTAACAAAGATCTAGTAGTTGAGCTGCGGAAAACTAAATTCTTACAAAATACTAGAGGTCATTACACATTTGAATTTTATAAGTACATCAAACACTAAAAAAAAAATTAATAATCCTTATAATTTTTAAGGTTATTTGTGAATTTATATGAATTTTTTAAATTAAAATACTACATCTCATATAAATTTAAAATAAAAAACTTTTTCAACTAAAGAGGTAATATTTCGGAAATTTAATGAGGCATGTTTCTGGTCATATTACCACTACCAAATCTGGAAGTACGTAACGTTTTAAAAACATTACATCTTTAAAAAAAGGTACATTTGAAATCTTGCAAGTTGAACTGCACGTAAACAGTGTACTATATTCTTGTTATCTGGATGCAAACATTTAAATATATCAGGCACTAAGCTTTTTTATAGTGGTTTTACTATTATTCAAACAAATGTAGTAATTTATAATCGTTATTTAAAATAGTAATAAAATAATTTAGTTGTTTACTATAATTGTTATCATTTACGTGATAACGTTGAAATGGCACCTTATTTAGCTAACAATAAAAATGAAATAATTATTGTTCA